AAAGTCTGAGATGTCTTCAGAAAAAGAAGTGCAGCTTCATAAATACGCCATGCCTCAGTTTTTTCCTGCTCTGTCTTCTGTCTTATTACAAAGAAACACTACTGCTGTAACTTTATGAAAAGCACTGGCACAGCTCTTTGGCTTAACCGCCTCACTTCAGTGTGGTACTGCAGGCCCTGAGTAATGTCTTTGGCTGTAAAACCGAGGATGATTCAGACCTCTGGCTTGGATAAAATTAACAGTTCACAGACAGCCCCTTCCCATGATGTGATCCACTCTCAAAGACTTGCGACACAATATTTCCTCGTGCAAAAAACAATGAACAGTCAGAAGATTTTGCCTTCAGCTGGTTTAGATATGTGAGTGGGTTTATTCTGGCCCCGAAGCCTTATGTTTGATACCCCTACTCTAATCTCTGTTAGCCCAACTTTAAGTTACAAGTAAACCCTAATTGTTAGGCATGTTTTAACTGCTTTAATATCGTGTGTTAGCCAATCACAGACACTGAAGGACGTGTAAGGGTGGAGTCCAGGAAAGACCTCAGCTGCTTTGTCATAGAGGGGGCGGAGAGAGACGATGAGGGCAACTACTCCATCACTGTCGCCAACCCTGCCGGAGAGGACAAGGCTGTGCTGTTTCTGAAGATTGTGGGTAAGTGAAGGTTTTACAGGATAACATCAGCTGGTTTCCCCTCATAGTGGGCAGCAGAAAAGGGATGTTTTTTTGCAAATACCAGTTTGACCTGTCTTCTCTGTTGTATTTAAATAAACTGCAATCTTTTTATCAGATGTGCCCGACCCCCCTGAGAATATCAAGTGCACAGGAGTGGGAGAGGACTGCGCCTCCATTATTTGGGACCCTCCTAAATTTGATGGCGGTGCACCAGTTAAAGGTGGAACATGCATTATATTAATTTGTTTAAGGAAAACAAAATTATTATTCAACCTGTTCATGTAACTGCATTATTACTCCACCAGGTTATCTCATGGAGAGGAAGAAGAAAGGCTCTTCCAGATGGACAAAGCTCAACTTTGACGTGTACGAATCAACCACATACGAGGCTAAGAGGATGATTGAAGGTGTTCTGTATGAGATGAGGGTGTTCGCTGTCAACAGCATTGGCATGTCTCAGCCAAGTCTCAGCTCCAAACCGTTCATGCCTATTGGTACGTTTCACAGTCGTCCTTACGTCCTCTTTCTCAGCAACTCCCTGTCCCTCCTTTGCTCAGTGAAGCCAGTCACTGATTCTCTTGAGTCTCCTTTCCTGTCATCCTCAGCCCCAACAAGCGAGCCAACTCGTCTGACAGTCCACGATGTGACAGACAGCACTTGCAGCTTGAAGTGGCTCGCCCCAGAGAAGATTGGAGCTGGGGGCCTCGACGGCTACGTTATTGAATACTGCAAGGAAGGAGGTGATAATGCCGTATATTTACGTGTAATAAATGAAAACAGCTGAATGAATGAAAAAACGAAAGAGACACAGATCACACTTAGTTTAATTTAATACATGAAGTTTTCTTTTAACGTAGACACTGAGTGGGTGGTGGCAAACCAGGAGCTGTGCGAGAGACAGGGATATGTGGTGCGCGGCCTCCCGGTGGGAGAGAAGATCAACTTTAGGGTGGTGGCAGTAAACATTGCCGGGCGCAGTCCTCCTGCTATAATGTCACAGCCCGTCACCATCCGTGAGATCGTCGGTGAGTGAGTCAGATTCACAGCCAAATAAAGTGAGCAAGTATAAATGTAAATAGCACATTTGGGTGTAGCATAGTTTTTCTTTGTGTTGACCACAGAGACTCATACTCATACTCATGTTATGATAAGAAGTTTAAACAGGATGTCTGTTTCTTCTTCAGAACATCCAAAGATCCGCCTTCCTCGTGACCTGAGAACAAAGTACATCAGGAAAGTGGGAGAGAAGATCAACCTGACTATCCCCTTCCAGGTTAGAAAGGATGAGTTTCTGTGCACTAATCAGTATAACAATCAGTAACAGTGATATCTTAGTGAGAGCAGCCGCTGAAACCAAATTTCGTTTTTTTCTTATGTTCTAAAAAGCATTAGAATAATAAATTAGGAGCTTACTTTAGAAAACAAAACCTAGTTTTTTAGTTTGTTTGTTTTTTTGTTTTGTGCATCGTTTTAATAATTTGAGTATTGAAAGTATGAAGAAAAAAAAACAACCTGAAGCTACATTTTTTAAGTCATAAAACTTGATTATGTTTTTGCACCACAGGGCAAGCCACGCCCCGTCGCAAACTGGTTCAAGGATGGCAAACCGCTTGATGAGAAGATGGTCAACGTGCGTAACTCAAACGTGGACAGCATCCTGTTCATTCGCTCAGCAGAGAGAGAGCACTCTGGAACATATGAGCTGGTTCTGAAGATTGAGAACATGGAGGACAGGGCCAGCATTAACATCAGGATTGTTGGTATGACTCCCAGGACTCTAGACGACTTAGCCCAACGGCACACGAGATGATGCAATATTCATCAGAGTTTAGAAGCTTACACTAATAAAAGTTTAACCCCAAACAGACAAGCCTGGGCCACCTTTGAATGTGAAGGCGACTGACGTCTGGGGCTTCAATGCAGCACTTGAGTGGGACCCCCCCAAGGATGATGGCAACTGTGATATTTCTGGATACACTATCCAGAAGGCAGACATGAAGACCAAGGTGAGAAAGAGAAATGGGGGTGTTTTCAGTCTTCGTCAGCGCCACAGTCACCTGCCAAGATGTCCAGCGAGGACCTGTATACTACGCAGGACGTTATCTCTCTGAATCATCGCTCATGACTCACTTTACCTGCAGGGACACTGCTTTCTTACTTTATTCACGTTTTTATTTAACTTTGTTGTATCTACTGTGGTTTCAGATTAGTTTCTTTTGGCATGGTCTATTCTATTTTATTGTGCTACATATCATTCTGCTTATTTAAGCTATTTGTTATATACTGTTTAACTTAATTTTTAACTTTTGCAATCAAGGATTATTCCTAACTCCAAGTTAAAATAAAACCTTTTAAAAATGCGGCCTTTCTTTTGTTCTCCACATAGACCGTTTTATCGGCATGCTGCCAAAGCCTGCTCAAGCGTGATTGGTCAACAGAACGTGATATACAAGCAAACCAGAAATCTTGGCCCCTGCCTACAGATTATGCAGACATCTGTTTATTTAAACAGTTTATAGCTTAGTGGATTTATGAAGAGCTGCAGGTCTTGCGAGTCTGTTTGACCAACCTGCTTCATGCATTCAAAGCAGAGAGATCACAGCTGACAGGATGAAGTGTGTGCTTTGGCTGCATTCGCACAAAAGCATATTTATTTATGCTTTATGGAGAATTACAGAATAACATGCTATTTATCTGATTCACTGATTTGTTCTGGCCAATCCTGCTTACTCTTGTCGTCTTTGCATCAGAGAAGGTGCCAAATCTGAATCTTGGGTTTGCTAACATTAGCTACCAAATGCTGCTTCTTTTACCTTTAGCAACACTTGGTTTGTTCTCCATGCTAGATTTGTGGGGGATTTTGTGGTTTAATATAATATTATCACTTCTTTTCTCTTTCTCTTTCTCTTTCTCTTTCTCTTTCACTTCTTTTCTCTTTCTAGGAATGGTTCACTGTTTATGAGCACAATAGACGAACAAACTGCACAGTTTCGGATCTGGTCATGGGCAACGAATACATGTTCCGCATCTACAGCGAAAATCTCTGTGGCCTGAGCGAGGAGCCGCGCATGAGCAAGAACACGGCTGTGATTGGCAAAACAGGTATGACAGTGTTTCCAATATTTACATGCAGTTGAACACATATTTAGGCCTAAAATGCTGATTTTAAGTCATCTAAATACATCTGAGTTAGCCAAGTTATAAGTACAGTGTAAGCCATTTATTCCAGTGGTGTTTGGTCTTTAGTTGATTGGTGTATATTCAGTTTATACCAACCATATTATCCTTAATGATTTTCTATTTAATAAATAAGTAAACTTTTGATTTCATATACTCATGCTGCATATAATTCAAAGAAGTACTTTACATTTTTAGTGGCAAAGTTGTATTTTTGTTGTTCTTTTTAAACATGTGAGCTGCATGTTTAAGTTCATACAGTTCATTTCTGATTTTTGCAACCTTTTTTCCCTGATTTACCTCCCACCCTCTTCTGAAGGCTTGGAACTCAAATCAAAGCCCTACAAGGAGAAAGACATGTGCTGCTCTCCCAAGTTTACTCAGCCGCTGGTGGATAGAAGTGTTGTGGCTGGTTACAGCACTGCTATCAGCTGTGCTGTCAAAGGCTTTCCTAAGGTAAAAGCACATGTTAAAAATCGAGTCCACTAATTAGCCAAGAAGTTTTAGCTTTAGCTTTCTTAACTCAGCTTGTTCAAATCTTAGCCTAAGATTGTCTGGATGAAGAACAAGATGATTATTGGGGAGGATCCCAAGTACTTGATGCAGAACAATCAAGGAGTTCTGACCCTCAACATTCGAAAGCCCAGCACCTTCGATGGAGGGAAATACTCTTGCATGGCTGTCAATGATCTGGGCAAGGATGAAGTGGAGTGCACACTTGATGTCCGAGGTAAGAACACTGGGCAACCGTCTGAGCGGGTAGAGGAGGACAGATGAAGGAACAGGAGGAACTTTGGTTATTTTAGGACAGGATGAGTCTTGATGGTTCTGCTAAACACTTTACAACAAAACAATGATTGCCATCACACTTGGACTCCAATCTAACAAAAGCTGACAACCACTATCTCTCTTGTTCTTTCACAGTTTACAAAGAGCCAGAGAAGTGAGAAACTGGACAGCAACGAATATGAAATTCAAATTATGAGCCAAACAGTGAATGTAAGCAGTGGACGTCACAATGAGGAGAGCACACTGTCAAGATTGAATCAAATAAAATATAGTGATCCTTGCTGTAAAAGTTGTTTATTCTGATTACATTTTATGTCTGTTAAAAAATTATTTCATGATTATTTATGTATATTGTGTATTCTTTATGAAGGCTCAAATCTGTTCAAGCGCACAATAACTATCACGATCATATTACAGTGAACATTAGTTGGGAAGCATTTTTATATTTATATATTTTATGGTACAAGTGTGTCAATCATCTCTGCTACACTTCCCTGGAGTACTGTCCTCTCCGCCTGAGGATTATCACCCCTATACTGAATAACAGCGCCACCGCCAGGAGTCCCACAGCCACTGCAAGAGCTGTTATGGTACCTGTGGGAGACAACAACTGTTTAGCTATACATGGCAAATATCCAAAAGCCTTGATATGTTTAAATGAGGCAGTGTGTTCTGAATAATCCCAGACAAGCCCCCCCTCCAAAAAAAAACCCCCAATAATAATAAACAAGTTGCAGAGAAACCTGGTGGCAACACCAAATACAGACATAGACACAGATTATAAACTTTATCTTGTTCACCTGTGCTTGACCATTTTGTCTTAAACCCACACTCGGCCTGCCAGTCATCTGCCAGTACGTCCTTCACCAGCTCATTAAACAAGGATAAAGGACAAGGGCTCAACCCGTTACATCCTGGCACAGGGTTGGGGTAGGGGTTGTTCCGAGAGTCATTGTGGTAGTGCAGCTCCACAGAATAGGATCTGGGTAATTATTAGGACGAATCCAATGAGAGGACACACATCTGTAAGTGTTATGCAAATGTATTTGTATTATGTGATGCTTTCACAACTGCAGCCCTGGGCGGCTGCCAAATTTCCTCAGCTCTCAAAGGAAAGGTATTTGCTCGGTGCATCCAAACAGAAAACCGCGATACCTCAAAATGTGGTGGGCATCTGACCTACATAGTGTGCTTGAATATGCAAAAGAGAATAGTGCAGGAAATAAAACTGGAAGGAAGTCATTACCCATCATGCTCCTGGTAGAACTCAAAGAGTTGACAGGCAGCGTAAGGAGGAAGAAGCCCGTTATACACGTCCAGAGCTGCCTGGAGGGTGATGAGTGTAGAGTCATGCTGGAACGAGGAACAAGCACCAAAGCAATAAGAAGGCGAGGAGATACAGTACATCAAGCAGCAGTTTACACAGCAGATTATAAATGTGTGCTCGTACACAAGCAATGCACTTACAGCTGAGTACATAATGAATTTGAGAGTGCTCCCTTGCTCTACAGCCTTAGAGAAATTCCTCAGGATGGCATTCAGCAGGACCCCTGGAGAATTACCACAATGTCAACAGTGCAAATTAATTTTTCTCACATACCAAGACAATCCTTTTGACCTTATTGAGCATCCTGTCTTGGCCCTGTAATCATCTTTGTCCCATTAGCTCATATGTGCTAATAAACAAAGCTTCGGCCAGCAGTCACATGAGATAAACAGAGCTTCTTCTTTTTTTTTTCCTCTTGAGTGCTCTAAATTAATTGCCTCTAATGTGAATTCCCACCTCCCGAGAGCCTGGCCTTCTCTTTTCGCTTGTGACTGAGGATGCTGTACATGACCTCAAAGGAAGCTATTCTCTTCAGGGTGTCCAAGACCTCTTGGGTGGCCCAGCGTGGCAGAGTCAAGTTATGAATCCTCTGCAAAAGAGAAGAATGTTCATTACGGCACTGCCTTACGCTAATAATCACATTATACAACATGGCAGCAAACGAGGTTTAAATGGCCGTACTTTATAGTTTCTATTATCCCGTCTATTTTTAGCACCAGTCTGAAGATAACAGATGCTCATTTTGCAAGTTTGAATGAACATATTCAACCTGGCCTAGAATCCACCCATCTCATTATGCTTTAATTATCATTTCAATATGTTGCCCCATTCGTCTTTTACTGTATGTATAAAGTGATTTCCCCGCACTCCTACCCTCGCTCTATTTCTCTGGAGATACTTTGACGAAAGCACATTATTGTTCCTTTTTTGTGTTTTTCTCTGTCACTTCTCTGCATCTGGGTTTTGTAGCAGCTTGTAATGTGCATAATACAGGTAGCAGAAATATTTGTGGGCTTGCTTTAAAGTATACCTCACAGTTAAGAGTGTCGTGGACCCTCCATATTTTTTTGCCAACCAGCTTGGACACGGGGTAGCCAGTGTGGTTAGAGAGAGCCTCCACAAAGTACTGCACAGGGAAGAAAAGAATAAGGTCATCAGTTTAAACTCTTTAAATAATAAGGCTCAATAATAAGGCTCAAGGGAACACAACAGTTTAATTACCATTTTTATGAGTAACATTCCATTTATTTATGGATATTTGTCCAGGCACACTGATTAGATATCTATTTTAGGGGTTTATAATCAAAAATTGCATAAATTAGCATTAGTAGTTCATTAATGTGGCGATGACTGTAAGTTTAACCTTTGGTCAGATAACACGGTGATACGTGGCACCAGTTTGGTTCGTGTATATACCTTGCAGGTACTCTGCCTCCAGCAGAGGGTGTTAAAATTCAATGCAGGATGCCCTGGCCTGATCTCAAACATCACCCTAATAGGCCGCACGTGGGACTCCATTTAATTAAAACCATTTTATTGTAATTCTTAATCTAATTCAATCTAACCGTTAATTAGTGTCTCTGAGAATGTGAGAGAAATTGCACTGTGCAGCTTTTCGTAGGCACTGGAGTCACCGTGCCTGAGAAAATCACTGAGAGGACATGATGTCTTCAGCATAACAAACACGTCTACTAGAGGTGCTGATTACGTTGACATCAACAACTGTGAAGTATATACTTACTGAAATAGGCATTTCAGCATGTGAGTTAATTTACAAATTAGGGCCGGGATAAGCAGACCAGGAGAGGCTGAGGTAAGGAAACGATTTTGTTTGCAGCAATTTTGATTGTGTAAGCCTGATGATATTAAACAACGGGGTTACAAACAAGTTTTCACTGGTTAGCAAGCACATGACTCACGGAAAAGATGTGCTGAACACAAACTAGGCTGTGAGCATTCACGTCACTGAACAGATGCTGATGGGCTACAGAACAGTGTATTTAGAGGTCTGTCTGGCTGTGTGGAGACGGCCTTTGTCTTACCTGGTGAGCTTTAAGGAACTTCTGGTAGGGATGACTCTCGAAGGTCTCCGTCATCATAGCGCTGAACCTTGGACAGTCTTTACCTGGAGACCTCAGCAACTTTAAAACAGCAGTTAAACATCAGTGGAAATAATGAACGTTAACTCGAGGTACTTCTTGTGGGCACAAATGTATGCTCATTTCACACTTTAACACTGTGGGGAATCACAGCTGGGATGCACACAGATGGCCGCATGGAGCTACAGAGAAAAGCCCAAAATAATTTATACAATTTTGTAATCAGCTTTGCGTGGCTGCTGCTGTGAAAAGAAAATATTTATGTGGCTCAGCAGCCCACCTTGTCGAGGGCTCTGGGGATGGTGTGCACTGGAATAGGCCGCCACAGTAACTGGGGCATGATGGGTCTGGTTTGGGGGAACATCCCAGCAAGGCAAGCCTGGGCACTCATCAGAGTGCGGTCGTAGTCAGTACTCCGCACATATATCTGTTGTAATCACAGAGAGTACATGGCATTAAAAAGCATTCATATGCTGGTACTGGAGTGGTTTCACTGATCCGACTATGTGCTGTGTTCTGGGGTAAATGAGGCTTACGTTTCTTTTCTACATTTAGAAATCTCATTAAAGTTTTTGCCTTTATTTTTGCAAGCAGTACTCATCCCAAGTCAACTGAGGTACTTCCTTAACCCAAAGAGTCATAGAAGAGTCAAATGAATGAGAAGGAAAGGGGAGGGGGGGACAATCTGTCTTGCTGCGATCTCTTCTGACATCAGTCTTCCCTCTTCTATAGCTCTCTGTCACTCTCTATCAGGTTTTTACACATCATAAATCAAGCAGATAAGGTTGGATGTTCTTGTGATACCAGGAGTGCTTCTGTTTTGCCCCCCTTTTGTGAACGTAAAACAGACATGGCAACACGCGAAAAGGTATGGCACAAGTTCACTGAGATTTAGGCAAGAGATTGTCAGTGATAAGTTCTGAGAACAGCTGTCATTAGTTGTGGTAATTGTGTTTTGTTTAAGAGAGAAAGACGAGCACTTAAAGCAAGAGAAAAGGGAAGGTAACGAGTATGACAAAGCAGAGGCAAAGAAGAAATTACAAATCTCTTATAATGTCAGTGTGTTTAGGATCCAGCACACAGAAGCTGCATATTTGCTGACAGCTGTACTTTACATGAAGCCCACGGGCTACATTACCCTCCCATGTTTAGCACACTGCACGGTCATGACAGTGAGTTCACCAAAATGAGTCAGGCTCATTAACTTATTGTATGTTTTTACAGACGTGACAGATGGTGACTGCTCGTACGCGCACTTGATTTTACAGGGCACGCATGACAAGAGGCTTAGGAAGCTCACAACAGAGTTCACCTAAACAAAGATGGGGAAGGAAACAGCAATTAACACGCAGATACGCATATGTGTTTGCATACACAGATACACCTACCTCTTTGCTGTTATAGTCTTCACTGAGGAAATTTCCGTAACGCCTCCTTAGAAACCGGCCGAGTTCAAACTGCTGTTTCATGCCCAGCTGGAAGGAAAATTGCCAGCATTTTACATTTTTAGCAGAATTTGACCTTTTGACTGAAAACGCTGCAGATTTATGGTCCTAATCAACCTTTTTACATAGATAAGCAACTTTTACCCTGTTACCAGTGTTTCTCAAAGACAAAATAATGAGTTTATACACTGTAAAGCAGCTAATTGCCCGACAACAGAGCAAAGTCACAGGAGGAAGGAATTTAATTAAAGCCCGAAGTCTGTTAAAAGTGTATTTTATAGTGAAAGATTTTAAGTAAATGAATTCAGCAGTTTTTGAAGTACAGTGATGCATTCATTGTGTTAAGCCTGTGATCCTCCTGTTTATGAATTTCTTGTCAAATTATAAGCATAAAGTCTCTATTATTATTTTTCTTTTGTTTGACTTTTTCACCTATATTTTAGTGAACTGTGTGTCACCCCAGTTCAAGTATGGTGGCCTTAAAGCGCAAAACAAAATAACATTAAAGAGAAAACTAGAAACATTTAGGACATAGAAAGGACATACTTTGTAAACTACTGAAATGTAATTTTCTGTTTTGTTATTAATTTTAAATGTCAGTGGTTTTTTGGGGGGGGGTTTTGGGTTTTTTTTTTTTTTTTTAAAAAAGGTTTATGTAATATTCTTGTGTTCTGTTGTGTAACTTAATTTTTTTTTCCTCTTGGTGTTATTTTCTAATTTGTTTGTTAAGATAGATAACAGCTTTGACTGTTTTGTTGTTTGTTTCTTGCTATGCTGTTATTATGTATTTTGTTTTATTCTTCTCTTTTCTAAAATGCTGTATTGCAATTTCTACAATTTTCGTTTCTTCTGCACTTTAGAGCCTCCGTACCACAGCCCAAATGATTTTGTGTAAAAGAGAAAAACTATTAGACAATTCAGTTTATACAACCAAAATCTCTTTACGTGTTTTGTTAACAACAAAACAAAATGTCAATGACAAATCAAGTACCTCAGTCAACTGTCCGAAACCCTGAGCCCACACTTCCTCCCCATATGGATCCCTGGGATATGACTCAATAGGTGATCGATCTCCGTGCCGGAACACCTGAGCAGCAAAACAGATATTGTCACATGATGCCGTGCTGCTGTGTTAGCATTACACTGCACACTTAAACAAGATTATCACCCTGAGACAGAGGTAATAAATAGAGATCTGTGACTGTGGACAGCGTGGGCAGGATTTGAGGCACAAGTGTCATTCTGATGATGTCATCAAGGCACAATCGTTAGAACTGTTGCATTAGTGTTATTACCTGACAGCTCACTTTCTGAGCCGTGACATAACAGAAAGGTTGAATTAACGGGATTGTGCACACATCTGATTCACTCTTGTTGATCCCACAGTAATTTTACAAACCACTCGAGTGAAACACGTCATAAAAATAACACAATAACACAAGCACAAGTCAGCAAAGATCCAAAGGCTTTTGAATATAATTGCTGCACAACAACATGAGATTTTTTATGTAAAGTAATTAAATCAATAACTAAAAATAATAGTTTTCAAAAAAAAACAAAAACCCAAAGATTTGTGAATCTAAACTCAATGAAATTCAGTGGAGCTGTATACGAAGTTGCTGAAGACTAGCAGGAATTTAGTGGATTTAGCTGATAACACAATTTTACTGTCAAGCAGTTGGTTAAGCCGTAATAGTTATGTAGCAGATATATAATTTTATTGTATGCTGTCCCAAGGTAAGTGGTTAAAGCACTTAAGCAACATACACATACAAGTTTTTTTTTTAAGGATACAAAAAAGTAAAAAATATGAAACGCCAAATCATAAGAATAGTGTGATTTCTTTTTCTTAAATCATTCAGTTGGGTAATAAGGTGTTATGTAAAGAGGTTTATGTATAAAGCTGCAGTGTGTGGGAGAGATATGCTAGACACTGTTGGAGTTTAGGCTCAAAGTAATCCTTTGTTACACAAAAAAGTGCAAAAACAATAATACTGATCGGGCAGGAAAACTACAATGCAATCAGTAACCATGCACAGCAAAGTGTCTTCCAGATTATATAATAATCACAGGATTCAACAAAGAAATGCTGTCAAACATCTTGTGGGGGGGAGGCGACAAATGGGGGAACTTACAGCTACAACAAACTTCAGCACCCGGCACTCAGTCAAACAGATGCAGCAGAGAAGGAACAAACAGCCCAAACTCTTCTGCAACTTCTGCATCTTTTCAGCTAGTCGAGCGTCACCTGCTTTACAAAATTCTTTCACTGAAAGACGAAAAGTATCAAGAAAGTTAATCTATAAAATCACAATTTCCCATTAAATAAGGGAACAAAAAGAAACAGAAACAATGCAGTGATGGAGATAAAGTGGGCTGTGTGTACCAGTCATGATCTTAGGATATGGTTTATATTATTATTATAATATTTTACTCGAAGTACATGTTGACTATGATAAGAGGAATCAACTAAGCATGTAACATAATCATTGAAATAATTATTTTTTTTTTAAATTTGGGTTACTTTGTTCTTAAAAGTTGAAGTCACTTTCAGTAAATTTCCATAATCTTTTAACAAGCTGAGCCACTGATCTGTTGATAATAGTGTTCTTTCTTTCCAGTTAAGAGAAATTATTATTATGTTGTGATTCAAACATTAATTAAAACTTTAAAGCGCAATATGCAGCGTGCGCATGCATGCAACAAAATGCTTTTTTTTTAAATATAAATGAAGATTTGCACTTACCTCAGCTGCTTGTTCACATATTTTGGTGTTGTAGTACAAATGATTCGCAGACATATAGATATATATATGTGTGTGTGTGTGTGTGTTTGTGTGGGTGGGTGTGTCAAATCCTCACTCACACCCAGGCTGACACTAAGTGCATGTTTCAGTAAATTTAGGCAGTGCTTTTATAGCCTCCCTACCTGGCCTTGCGTGAGTGTCGCTCTCTCTCTCTCTCTCCCTCTTTCTCTTTCTCTCCACCTCTCCTCTGGGATTATTGGTCCCAGTCTATCTCCATTGTCAACTGGAGTCCAAGTCACTGTCTCCTTCTATTCCCCGCTGCACACATGACATGACAGCCCGCCACGGCAGGCATTTTTGTGTCAGCTTCTGATCTTATGAAAACGTGTGACCCTTGTGTGGATAATTTCACTTTAAAAGCACCCCCACATTTAGATGCTTTACAATAGCACCATGACAAAGTGTAGATGCACCCACCTGGCTTCTAAAATTGTACTCCTGCATGCGTAAACACACATGTCCTCACTTAAGCACTGGCCCAGAGCCACAAACACTCATTATAACTTGCTATGTCATCCACTGTTGGTTTTGCCCTAAAATTACAGGGCCTGGAGTGTTTTCCCTTACATGGCACACATGTAAGTATCTGTTAGTATCAAAGTAGCTTCATGAGATACAATGGGATTAGTAAGTGTAAAGATTTAGAGCTATGCAGCGTTGCCATCGTGTTTGATAAGTGTAAGATAGCATCTTTTGTAACAAGCAATTTAAAGTATTCACTGAGGTGGCGTGTCAGAGTAACATTTTAGATACTAAATTAGGTTTTATAGATAATGATCTGCAAAGAAAAAAAGAGCATAACTGGCAGCTTGTATACTGAGCGAGAATCCCGTGTACTTAGTTAAAACAACAACAAGATTAAATGTGTCCAGTTCTGCTTTTAGTTTGGTGATAATTTATATCTTTATTCTTCTGTTTGTATAGTTCACTAAAGTGTTTTCTAAAGGCTTGTAGATTTTATCACAATGCCACTTCAGTTGTATATGTATGCAATGCTAATTATGTGTACTTTATGCAAAGACTAAAATGCTGTTAGTTTTTGTCCTTTTAATGCAGACTGGGATTTATTTTCAAGAAGACAAAAAAATCAGGTATTATTATTTCTTTGCCTTATAGTAATTTTTACAGTGTCACACAGTATTAACAGAAACACACTGGATTTAAAGTATTTTTAGTTGCCACAGTTTAGCTTGTAACCTTAGTGTAATTGGTTTTGCCCTCATGTTTCAAGTATTTTACTTTTTTTCTCTGCTTTCCATGTTTCGCCTCTCTTTGTCTTCTTGTTTCTCTGCGACTTTATTCTTTTCTGTTTTTTCTTAATTTAAAGGTTAGTCCTTCACATGCTTCTGTGCTATTACTTCCTCTCTTTGTTCTCTTCACACCCACTTTAGCGTCTGATTCAGTTCACCTGAGCCTTATTAACATTCTCCCTAGTGTGTAATCTGTGTGTTTTCCGTCAATCTTTTCCATATCATCATGTGATCTACCTGTTTATTCCTGGTTATTTTGCTTTCCTGGTTTCCTTGTTCCCTTTCTGGAAACTCTGCGAGACACTTGAGAGTTCTGCATGTTCCTGCAGAGCCTTTTGTTCTGTATTTTTCTCTAAGTCATTAAAGAACATTTTATTTGACTGCCTGCTTGTTGGTCCTTTTTAATGTTCTGCATGGGGACCATTAAAGAACTTTACCTTAAAGAACTTGTGATAAAGTCCATTGTAGCAACTATAATGCCAGCTTTTAAAACGTATATGTGCACTGACGTTCAGCATATGTCGGAACTAATTTAAAACTCTGATAATGTGCAGTGGTCTGTGTGTACATCTGTTTAACCCCTTCAATTCCACACCACAGCACTACACAGTAATCCTCTCACTGATACACAAACACAGACACACACGCATGGGGGCAACATGTGTGTGATACAGACTTTGGTACAGGTTGGCTTTGAAAAGCACCCCTTTAAAAATGGGTCAGTGAGTCCACCTGCGCTCATCTCACAGTAACATATACATATATTTGCATATCCATTTAGGGTTTTTAGTGGAGGATAATAAATGCTTTTTACAATATGGGGCCAAAAGAAACTCATATATAATGTAAAATCACATCACCACATTTGCATATTTGTTTGAAAAATGCTAAAATTCACACACTGGTTCATTGAAGGGTCGCAAAACATGCATGTACACGCACACACTCTCTCCCTCTGTTGCTCTCATAAGCATAAAGCACCAACACATACACACAGGCAGACATCTCTCACTCGATCAGTTTCCCTCCCCCGAGTGGCTATAGTGTGGTTTTTCCCTTTTTTTTCTTCTTTTCTTTCGTTTTTTTTGTCTTTGTTGAAATAATTGCAGCGATTTTCAAGACCGTCGCCATGGCAACGCAGAGGCTGATGCGTGTTGACAGAATCTGTTGCAGGGCGACCGAGAGACTGAAAATGGGAGATAAGAGGTGGGAGGAGATGTGATGAGTGGCGTGTATGCGTGCACATGCATGTGTGTGTGTGTGTGTGTGTGTGTGTATGTGTGTGTGTATGTGTGCGTGTGTACGCACTTGTGTGTGTGGAGCTGATGATGGTGTTGGCGGTATTAGTGCTTCAGTCCATATGATGAATGGAGACGAGCAGTATGGGACATCTAGAACGAGCCTCAAGATCAGGAGTGAACAGTTATGAGTGTATGAGAGAAGAGCTGGTGGTGGGGGTTGGGGGGAGGAAGGGGGTGCTATTTTAGTCTGGGCGTTGTCATGGAAACTGCAGCCTCACTACAAATGGAGACATCCAGAACACATGGATCGTCAAACAAATGGCGTGCGTAAGGCTCAGCGTGAAGCTACGCCATGGCTGTGCGACACTATGCCATCTGAGTCGAACCCACCCCCACCCACACAGACACTCACACCCCTCTGCAGCCTGATAACAGTGGCATCTTCTTCATCGCAGA